GGGGGGGGATGCTCAGGAGGAGAGGAGAGGAGGCCAGAAGTGGGATGTGTTGAATTGTCACAGAAGAACAGTCGCGGGCCCGCCAGTGCGCCGGCGAGATCGGTGAGACAAAACATCCTCCCGGCGCACCGGCCCTCCATTGAACATTGAGTATTGAATTACGCACCGTGTGATCTGCGCGCCGTGTTTTGTATTCGTCACTCCGCGTTTAGCCGTTGTGCCTCGTAATGCGTTGGTACTCGTTCGTGTCGTGCGAGGGTCGTACCTGCTCCGATGGGTATCTGAGGCAAAGGCTGTGACAAGTATGATGTGGGTGATGTGTGATGAGGGATTGACAATGGTCAAACCGTAGATAGACAGAAGCGATGCACCGAGGCAAGACTTCTCTGCAAGGTACTGTCGGCTGGGAAGCTACCGGCTCGATTGGAGTCACGATCCTGTCGTCGAGCGAGACCGAGAATGGCTGACGGGGTAGGCTGAGGTTTGGCAGGGTTTCCAGAGGGAAAGTAGAAGAGCGTTACCGTGCCAGCCGGACGTATTAATGTGCAGAGGGGGAGAGTTGTGATGCTGCCGATGACAGTGAGCACGGGGAGTTGGCTGAAGCAGAACAAGGTGAGGGTGAAGAGCAATGACCGCCCCACTCGACACTTGATTCAAAGCAAGCACACATGCAAGTCAAGCAAGGAGGCAGGCAAGCAAGCAAACAAGCAAGCAGGCAGGCAAGCGGCGAGCGGCTGGGAACAAGTCACCAGGTTATCGCTGAGCAAGGAGCAGCTGACGGGGGAGCCACAGGCTGCACGCAAAGGCGCTGAGGCGGTTGTCGTTCTGGTCCTGGACCCGGACCTGGCGTTATGGCTTCCGGCCTGTGCTCCTGAACTCCTGATGTCTTCGGTCCCTCCTGGCATGCCCTTGAACCCAACCCAGCCCCCCATCGAGCCTGCTCTCGTCTCCGGCCTCTCCTCCCGCTTTGCGTATGTACGCTCCCACTCTCATCACTCGACCCTGCTCCCACTTGCTCACCTCGTCGCAATCGGAACCCAAATGCCGCCCACTTCCTGCTCCTGCATTCTCATCTCTGGCATCCTCTCCTTGTCCGCTTGTCCCGGGCTGGTCCCTGTTCGCTTGCCGCAACTTGTTCATCTACGGTGACAGAATGTGCGTCATGTAGCAGATCACAATCCTCGGGACGGCATCTCACTAGCATCTTTGTGGCGTTGATTCCATCATACTTCCCAGGCCGCCTCACGGCTGGCCTCTTGAGCCCGACGATTAACTTTTCTCTTATTAATGCGTGACATATTGCAATGTTTGCTCTCCGTCTTCTCGGATACAACTCAAAAGGCTAGCAGGGCGGTGGAGCACTTACTCCTTTTGCATTTGGAGAGCCCCTCCGTCTTCCCGTACTTTTCGCTTGTCAGCGCCGCCCAAAGAGGCAGCTAGCGTGCGTAATTGGCGTTGTTGTGACGCGCATAACAGCCAGTTAGGACCATGACAAGCTTGCTGGCGGAACCACGGAACGGGTTGAAGAAAACTATAGCCTTGCACAGCTTGCGCGCATGTTGAGGCGATCCGCCGATCCTCCGACGGCCAGGTGACAGTCTTGAGTCAGAAGTGCCTGGGCGAGCCGCTGGAAGCCAGCCATTGATGACTGCAGTCGCCTCACGCCAAAAGCTCACTGCTGTCTGAGCTGCACGGTCCTGTCACTCTTGGGCCAGGGCAGGCACTGCCGGACGTCAGTATCTTGCATTAGTCCGAGCCTGTGCGGCGTGACTCTCAGCGTTTATGGCGGGCTCCTCAATTTGTGTGGGGTTTGTGATGCGGGAGACTATAGCGCTACCGTTCACTACGGGAGGGCTGCAGTTCAGTACTTGCGAGACACACCAGTGTCACTGTCGCCTGGGAGCTGGCAATCCGCCCAGGGCAGCTATAACTTGCCGAAACCAGATGCGGTGGTAGCTTCTAGTCTGGCCAACTCGGTCCTCTCCCTAGATTCCAACCTTGCGGTTCAGTGATGAGAATCGGCATGCTCCTCTGGTAAGCTATTTTCCTTTCAGAACATTATCCATGAGCTTGACCAGCACACCCCGGGCCGTCCCGGAGCCCTGCCCAAGGGGTCGGCACAGATGCTCTCACACGCCCGCTCTTCTCATAGTCCTAACTCCCACTCTCTTCCAACCTCTAAGCCAGCCCGCAGGTCGACTCAGCCAGCCCAGTCAGCTCTCGGGCCTGGCCCTGGAGCCGGTCCCGCCCATCCGATCCGAGCCCTTCCCGCTCTCCCGACTCTGCCTCCCGTCATCCAGGCACCGCTGCCAGACTGCTTCGGGACAACGTAACCTGTGCCGTGCATGCCGCGGCGCTGCCGTAGTGCGAACGGAGCGGCGCGTTTCAGTCCTCCAACGCCGCCTGCCCAAAGAGTGCTGCTGAAACACGGTGCAGTACGGAAATCGCCATGTCCAGAACCACCAAGGACTAAACCTATCCAGATGCGTCTCCCTTCCAATTATCACTTGCCACTTTGCGTCTTTGCGTCGGGTCGGGACGACCGCCGCCTTGCCACATTCGCACAGTCGGCTGCCCATGATCGTCGGATCTGCGCTGACGACGTATGTTACGCCACAGCCAGACGGTCAAGGGGCCGGACACCACTCCGGATGGGTGCTGCAGGAACAGGGTGGCTCGACGCCGCTGATGGCATGGCGCACATCTGGTGAAACGCTTGGTCGGCGGAGCTTCCAATCGACTGGCCCGAAGTCCAAGGTTCGAGGGTACATGTGGCACCGGGATATGTGCCGAAGTCTCATCTGTGAACTCACACGGACACCGTGTGAGCCCGAGCCGCTCTTCGACACTCGGCACTTCTGATTAGGCTTCAGGCTTGCCGGAAGAGAAATGCAGGACTAGTCATGCGAGGGTCAGGCAGACAAAAGTCTGCAAAGAGATAATCCTCGAAAAATCAGTGGACGAGTGAGAAGCGTAAGGTTGTTACGGCGGTGAACGCCGCCTGCGCCCAGCTCCGTCTGACACTTGGAGCGCGAAAAATGAGATGACCTCACGCCGAAAGTTTACGATCTAGGCGAGTTTCGGGTGAGCGGCGTGTTGAAAAGGATGCCAGTTGTGTTGATTGTAGGCGCCAGCGTGCGCGAGGTGAGCGGCAGGTGCACCAGACTGCGAGCTCTCTTGGTAATAATGAGGCGAGGGATGAGATTCGTGGAAGCCCATTACGCGCAATGTCCGAGAGAAGAAGGCGGGGTTCAGCAGGGCGAGCCGTGAGCGCCCCAAATGCGATTATCACGTTCTGTTTTGACACTCTGCCACCCATTTTCACACGGTACGCCGCAGCCAAAGCGGCATGGCGTCGCTCATTCTCCTGGACACCTTAGGTTGTGAACTAGTAACATACACACAGATAAAATGTCTTGGCCGGCCTCCTCTCAGAAAACTTAGGACCTTTTTCACGATAATGCGGTATCCCATGCCTCGTGCCACGGGAAAGTGGGGGAGCTGGGAGTGGGAGTGGGCCTTGCGATCTTGGGACACAGTCGATCCAGGGCGGCATGTAGTGGCTCACGCGCTGACCTTGGTCGAATCTGATGACGAACTTCCGAAATTGTTCCGCGTCTGGGTGAGAATGCGGCGCAGCTCCGCCGGCGAGGCTGACTGCATCCTCTCCGCGGACGGCATCGACTGTCCGAAGGGGTGGTTCGACGAGGAGAAGATCCAATCGCCGGGGTCCGTGTAGCTGCGCGACGTGATCGCATCGAGCTCCTTGGCGATGATCTCCTGACAGAAGAAGTGCAGGTTGAGCTTAGTGGTTAGCTTGGTCTTGAACAGACAGCTCTCGCGCTTCTCTAAGGCTCACATCGTTCTTTTCCAGTCCAAATGGATTTTCAATCTCCTCTGCAATGCTTGCGTAACCAAGCACGAAGTAGGCTGTGATCTAGACATCAGCGATGGTCTCTGGAAACCGCATTTGAAGATCGGCTGGTAGATTAATTCGCCGACCAAAGATATCGCATCGGCAACATCAAGGTGGTGACTATACCGAAGGTGGATGTTCGACACCAACCGATATGAAGACTCACAACAGTGGCAGGGACTGTGACCCATTTCAGCTTTGAGTCCCACAGTTGGAAGGGAAGAGCCAGGCAGTAAATCCAGCTCATCTCGTAGATGTGAGCATTGTACGACCAGGGGATGGGTGTAGTGAGGATGCGCTCAAGTGCGGCCAGCGCGTCGTTGAGCTGAGACAGTGGGAGCATAAGGTTGGTAGTGGTGGAAGGGTCGATGACTTTGCGCTTCTGGACCGCCGCGAGCCACGAAGACATGAACGTGATGATCTTGAGCGGCACATCCATGTCATCGCCAGTCATCGGGTTGAGCTTGTGGGTGTGCTTCTTCCAGCGCGAGGGCCACAAGTCCGTGAAACTGAACTTGATCGGGTTCTCGGCAGGGCAAAGCACAATGGGATCACTCTTGCTGCTGTCGTCGGTTGCCTGGCGGTGCGCGTGGGGACGTATGGGGCCGGCACTAAGCATAGGAAGATTAGGCGCTATATTGGCATACTCGGTGGTAATGCCGCTCGGAAAGCTCAGAGTTGGGATGAAGGAAACGAGATGGTAAAGGTCCTCGTAGTAACTGACGTCAGTGATAAGCGTTGGTCGCGCTCACATTCCCGGCTCATCCCGCAGGTAGTGCTTGACAGCGACGGCAAAGGCCAGGCCGAGCTGGACAACCGTTTTCTTCTCGATGAGGGCCCTGGCTTCATCGCGGGCGCGCTCCGCCGGGTCCTCAATGGGCTCGGCCTGAAGGGAGTCTGGGCCTGCACATAGTCAGTCATATCCGTCGCCAGACTAGCCACAATCGGACCCCATCCCTCGTCCCCCACCGGCCACCTTGCGTGATGTGGACTTACAATGAATCCAGACCATGCGCGCCCAGTTACGTGTTGCGGTAATGATCTGGGCCCACATCTTGCGGCCCTCAGTGTACTTTTCATACGCGGAGGACGTGCTGAGCATCAATAAGCCGACCCTGAAAAGCGTGCACTTCGGCTACCAGCTTGCAGCACATACCGGTAGGAAATGGTCAAGCCGAGGAGCATACCTAGCACAGTGATCATGACACTGGGGAAGGATAGCTTCGCGCTAGTCTTCAAGTTGATAAGGACCACCATGGTGCTCCACCCTCCGAAGAAGAGGAGGGTGGGCCAAATGCGGAACAATGCCGTAGCAAGAATAGCATTGAGGAAGAAGCGTAGTGTCTTGTGTGGACGGTGTTGGAAGACGTTGTATGACCGATAATGGGTCTGGTCGAAGTGGCTGGACGACGACTGACCGAGCAGAGGTCGAGACTTTGAAGGGCACCTGGAGCAAGGTAATAGACGGCTGAGATGAAAGAGGTGTAAACAAGAAGAGAGGACAAGATGGGTGGTTAGTAGGAGAAGATGGCAGATGTGCTTTTGTAGCGGGGCGGAACTGTGAATATGGGGTAGGGTGATGAGTGATGAGTGATGAATGACGAGGGTGAGACAAGGTGCGAAGGGTCGGGAACGGAGCCCAGCTGTGTGCTCGGGGTGCTTGAGGAGCTTGGGGTGCGCGGAGGTGCGAAGTGTCCGCCAAGGTTGACATGTCGGAGGTGCTCTGTGCTTTTTTGGTGCGCAACGGACAAGTGGAACAATCCAAAGCCACCAGGCGACAGCAACAGGCGCAGGCGCTTGCGATCCAGGTGTTGGTAATCTTCCCATGGATCCCATGGTGCGGAATGTGCGTCGCGCACATGGGCGCCAGGTGTTAGCAAGTGGCGCACAGGGCTGCAATTCTTGCAGGTGAACAGTGCGCAGAGGCGCCCACCCATCGTTCGCAGCTTTGCACCTCTCCACTCCGTTGGCACGCAGTCTGCGACAGGATAAGAGGCGTGAGGCCTCAATAGGACTCATATCCCGCAGCGGGTGGCGATGATAACTGACAGAGGGCGCTGAGGGCGCGGTTGGTCCGCAAGTTAGAACGGCCTGGAACTCGTGTGTTTGGCAGCTTTGTCAGTTTCCAACGTGTTTGATGTTCGGCCTAGACAACGTTGGTGCGCGTGCTGCTTTCTATTCAACGGAGCTAAGGGCCCCGCCCCGTAAGTCTCGGACCTTGTGGCGGTGCAGGTGAAGGAGAAAGGGGGGCTTCTCTTCCATGGGATGCACAATGAGGGTGGGCGACACGTCAAGACATCCGGAATAGGACCAAGGGGGGTCAGGCAGAAGGCGGCACGGCGTCGGCGCACCTTATTAGCCAGCTCACCGTGGAACGTGGCCCGACGCGTCCCGACGCGCCCCTCCAGCGGCGTCCTCCGCCCCTCAAGAGCCGCTATTTCTGAGGCTGAACCGGCCATAGTGCAGGCATCGCCTCCGATGTCGAGAAACTGCGGAGATTTACTGCCTGCGGGTTGGCCAGGCCGGCGAGTGATCCTGTCTAGCATTCCAGTCCCCTCGCTGTCTCGCGTGCAACATAACCCTATCGTTAAGGCCCAGGCCTTTGGCTGCTGTTATAGCGGCGGGATAAATGGGAGGGAGTAATGATAGCGAGCGTACCGAGATACCGAGATGGGCTTCAAGAACCTCAAAAGGTTGCAGTGCGATCGTGATGCTAGTTCAGAAAGCACTGCGCGTCTTGGTGTTGTTCAAGGCGATCGAGTGAGAAGACAAGCGAACTCCGCTTTTCTGCGGATCTGCGCAACAATGTCGTCATGTCGTTCCGCCTCATCCGCTCCCGCCTGTCCGCCTGTCGGGATCAAGAGACCTCAACTCAACTTGAACATCTCTCTATCCTCTTTCTCTCTCTCTCTCTCTCCAAGCCGTGTATCTTGTCTCCAACCTTCCTCATCGCTCATCTGTCTCTGATTGTAACCAGTGCCGGCTCGCAGCCAGCTCTCTTCCTTCTGCACTCTTCTCATCTCGCTCATCACTCATTATTCATCACCTCTGCTGCTCACCTCTCGCACTTTTCGCTTACAGCTGACAGCCTCACAGCATGTCCCACGGCCGAGCAGGCGAAAGCCATCGCAGCAATGGACGGGCAAAACGCACCATGTCTCTCAACGCTCGGTACGACAACCTTGTAATGCTGCATCAGCCGCGCCCACTCCGGTTGCGCAATCCTCCTCCCTCGCGCGACAAGGTCGACTGTCGCAACGCACGGGACCGCGCCGCGCTCTATGAGCGCTTTGGCATCTCGGATGTAACCCCCAGAACCTTCTCATCCATCGAGCTTCCTCATCTACCCTCCCGTCTGCATGCGTTGGATCAAGTTAGGCAACGGGAGACTCGGCGCACGCTTCAGCCCAGAGATGCAGTCGTGAGTCACTTACACTGGCGCCGGCTTACTTCAGCCAGAATCAGGCCCAGAGGCAGACCCGGAACCAGAGCAATGGCTTGTGGACATCATGTTCCCCGAACACTCGCAACAGTCGACTTTCCCGGTGGCCGCAGAGCAAGCACCTTCCTCCGCCCCGTCGCCGGCCGTTTCACCCTTCGAGGACACCATCCCGCTCTCTCTCGGTCATCAACCATACTTCTGGCAGCAGTCACCTCAACAAATGCAAATCGCAATGGGTCATTCACCCGCTCCTGCTCTGTTCTACCCGCAACCCGTGCCATCGCTCGAGTCTAATACCAGCTTCACACCTCTGACGACAATGCCTAATATGCCTTCAATGGGCGTGGCCGGATGGGCTGCACCTTGGGGTACCGCAACTATTGACATACCAACGCCCGCGTCCTTTGTGCCACTGTGGCTCGCGCAGCACGGCGTAGTGGACGCTGCTGGTCGCCCTATCCACCTTCCGTTATCAGTCCTCTCACCACAGTCCCTCTCACTTCCGGAACAGCGATCACGCCGGTCTTCACGTCGCTCGGGTCGGAAACGACGACGCCGGCGTTCTCCGTCCGCTTCATCTGAATCAGATCTCGATAGAGACAGAAAATCTGACGGATGCGAAGACCAGCGCCCTCCTCTCGGTTCACATCCTTACAAGAGCCCGAATGTCGCCGACTCTTCATCGGATGGGGACGGTCTCGAGGTCGCAGGTTCCGGCAAGGACCCGCTCGCGTCGGGGGAAGGTATAACAGGCATCCTCAAAGAGCCCATTGCCCGTGCCATGGAACGTCGTGACGAGAAATACCGCCCGAATTCCATCAACTCGGAGCACGACCGAGATCAAGAGTCTGTGCTCAACCCCAAGCCTTTTGCCCGGCCCGGCCCCTCCGCTCGCGAACAGGACTTGGGCGCCCGTGTCCATGGTCCGAGTTTGGTCACCCAACCTTTCGTCCAAGCTGGCAAGTCGTGTGACGTCCATCTGTCTGCGTCACCAACATCTCCACAGCGCAAGGCTCGGATCCCTCGCGAGTCCAACCGCACTCCCTTCCCGACACTTCCTTCAGCTGCGACACCCATCACCTCGCAGCGGTCTAGCAATACGCACAGAGACCCCTGCGACGAGCGTTTGAGTGGGACGCTCAAGTGGTCTTCCCCGGTAATGCCTGAGGCCGAGAACGCCATCATGCGCGACGGGAGTTCCTCCCCCTTCCTCCAACCAGTAGTGGGTGCGGAGGTCATCAGTGCTGACATGGCAGGCTGTGTATCCCCCTACGCCAGCGACAACTGTACCCAGCTCTGTCTGTCGCTCACACCCGAGCGCGCAAACCAGCTCTGAGTTCGGGGGCAAGTCGCCGGCACGGGTGCAACGCGCCACGGAGCGCGCGTGGGCCGCCTTGGCCGCCATGCAGCCGCGGCATGAGCAGCAAGACCCGGTTGCGGAGGCTATGCCGGCTCCTCCCTCCCCAGCCCTTGCGCCAGTTGACGCTGAGGTGTCTGACGAGGGCGAGGCGTTCATCGATGTCGAGGACGAGGAGGAAATTTATCAGTTCTCCGATGACGAGCACTTCGGCGCGTTTGACGCCGTCCTTGACGCCGACGTTCCGCAGTTTGACCTGTCTTGGGACGACGAGGAGGAGGAGAAGGGCAGCGAGGCGGGCCCGTGCGATCAAGAGATGCCGCGGTCTAACCTCAAGTCAGGTGTGACGCCGGGCCACCCCGCAGGCAAGCGCGTACGTTTCGCTTGGGACATTGGAAGTCTGGGTGAGAGTGACCCGGGGTTCAAGGTGTGGCGCGACGGGTATTAGCGACAAACACGCCCACGCTCAGAGCCCCTCGCGTGCCGAGCAGCAGCAACAGGCAGGCGACACTCGATTGATCTCAACAGATGACAAATCAGGCTTAAATCATCAAACAACATCATATAACCAACAACGAACCGAACGATCCTAACGAGACAACAGACTCCAGAGGCTATGCGAAATGTCAATGTATGCACGTGAATGTATGTAGTCTAGTCGCGCGCCTCCCCCTCAGCAGTGAAAGAGGCGTAGCGTTTGCCTGCGACAATCCAGCCGGTGAACGGCGCGTCGCCCGTAGTAGCCTGGAAGTCATGTGGGAGGTTCCACTCGGGGCCCACGGGATCGCGCGGCTCACCGCGGATCACGCGCTTGGCCGCGGCATAAGCCGTGTTGTGCGCCTTGAGTGCATCATATGTCGACTCGCTCCCACCCCCGTTACCAGATGCATCCGGAAGGGCGTTCGCCAGAGCGAGGTACGCCCGCATGATCTCGATGCGACATACCCGACTCCTGAGCTTGTCCTTGAGCAGCGTGCGCCCCGGCGCCTTCCACCCGCTTGTCTGTACACAGCCGTTGACGAGCACTTCAGGCTTGCACCCCGCGACGAACGACAAGCTAGTGTTGGCCGTGGCGCTGTCGCCTGACGGCTTGTCGAAGGGAAACCTCACGTCGGTGAGATGCACTCTCGGCCGGTGCAGCGCGTAAGGTGGCGGCAACGCACCGCCAATGCCCTCAAGCCGGCCATACACGGCGCGCTCGACCTCGCGCCGTATCCCCTCTCTCCATCCCTCCCCCTCCGTCGAAGGCGCTTGCACGCCTCCCACGACGATATGGTCGAGATACACCGGCGCGAAGCGCTCCAACAGCGCGCCCTGTAGGCCTAGCGCGCACCACGTTCCGATCTTGTCCGAACACGAGAACGAGATGCTCGCCGGCGCATCCCGCCGTCCAGGCTTCGTCCGGATCGCGCCGAGGTTCGCGTACCCGCTGCGCCCGCGCGCGGCGCCCTCCACGGCCGAGAGGGAGGCCTCGAGGCTCGCGAAGGAGGCCGCCTCAGTCGCGTCCTGGTGAGCGGCGGTGTGCAGCGTCGATGAGTCCCCGCACTGCCGTCAGCGTACATTGCAAGTTCAGGACGTACAGGCAATGCGGATATATACAACCATACCTCGACGTCGGGGAGCAGGGCGAACTTCCCCGGTGAGGGTTGTGAGAGAACTGCACTCTCTTGCCCCGCTAGGAGGGTGGCCGCCTCTGAAAGGAGGAAGCGTACGAAGCCCCGCCGCGCGAGTACCTCTGCATGCGAGTCGTGTACCGTGTCACCCAACGGTGGAAGGCGGTTAGCGGGGAGGCACTTGACGCCCGCCCCGATCGAGGCTACGCGAGGCGAAGTCGTGGGGGATGTGAGGACGACTGACGCGAACACCGTCCATTCTTTGACACCGTTATCGCGCACGGTCGGCTTGCCGTGTTTCGGTAGACGCGCGTACGTTTCTAGAGCGGCGTGGACGACGTCTTCGGGTTCTGGGACCATGTCGGGGGTCATCTAGGTGGATTGCCATAGCTCATTGACGAGAGTCATGACCGAGAAGTTGCCCATGAAATTGCTTCCGGTGTTTGGTCCCGGTGGAGGTCAACTATCCCATCGATCTAACACAAACATCCACCTCTGCCAGCACTTTCCCGTGTTAGCTCGGAGTCCCAACGAGCATGTCGAGTGGGAAGAGTGCTTGGGATGGTCCGAAGCCAAAAGGTTGACCTCTGGCGGGATCGAACCGCCGACCTCATGCGTAACTCGTTGCAGTCGTTGAAGACTGACGCTCGTGTTAAGCATGCGCTCTAACCAGCTGAGCTAAGTGGCCTGGTATTGCACATGATAAGCAGCCCCCTGCGCCCGACACAACAGTTTCTTGACGCTCACACGGCTGTCACCCTAGTCGATGACTGTGCAGAAAGTGCCGGGTCCCAGAACAATATGCCCCAAGGTCGAGAGCAAACCTCGAAGGTTATAGTGACTCGAATCGCGGCAGTTTCCAGCAGTTTCCAGTCCGCAATGAGTGGATACAGACACGAGATACCAATCCATCTCCGGAAGCGCTGCCGCACAAGAAATAATCCACTATTCTAAAAATCTACACTCTTTCCTCCCCGCGTTTCTCCACCACCTCCTCCACGGAAATGCTTTTTTCCGTCTCCGTCTCGCTCCCCTCCTTCGTCTTACCCCCATATGTGCCCATACCTCTCAACACGACCAACGCAATAATGCCAGCCGTGAACGCGGCCCCTGCGCCGAACCAGAAGCCGCCCCGCAACCCATGCAGGAGTGCCGTGACGTGATCCACGCCCGTGCGCTGCTCCTTGCGCGCAATCGTGGTTTGGACGACGCCGACGAACGCGAGGCCCAGCGCGCCGCCGAGCTGAACCAGGGTCTGGAACACGGCACCCGCCACGCTCTGTTCTTCGGGCAAGGCCAGAGTGGACACGAAGACGGAGCCGACGGCCATGAGGAAGTCTGCGCCGAGGACTACCATCCACATTGCGTTGAACCTGGAATCAGCGCAGACTCAAATGTAACGCACGGGAGGCCCCAGTAAATGGCGTCGCGAGGAGCGATCGCAAAGAAAACATTCGCCAGTCCGGTCGCAGCGATGCCGATGCAGATCAATGTCTGCCCAGGCACTAGGTGGATAACTTTGGCGACTAGCACGTTGCACAGCAGCCCCGAGACACAGCAGGGGATGAAGCGGAGCATAGCGCCAATCGTGCCAGTCATTTGCACCTGCTGATAAAACAGCGTGGCGTTGAAAAACATGCTCGTGAAGCCCATCCAGCAAATTCCGCCGACAAGATATGTCGCGGCAAGCTTGCCGCGTGCGCGTGTCCAAAGCCCAAGGCGCATGAGTGGTGGGCGCGTGGTGCGCGTCTCGACGTAGTGCTCCCATACGAAGAACGCAGCGATCATCAATACGGAGAGGACGAGGAGTGCGATGATGTCTGCCGTCAGCCTCACTGGTGATATCCAGATGAGGTGTCAACTTACAGCCAGTTTTCCACCCGTTGCTTGCACTCTCCGCATCTGAAATGCTGAACTGCAACAGTACGAGGCCAATCGTAATAATGGCCGCTCCAATCCAGTCGACGCGCCGGTCTGTGTCAAGGTGTCGGTCGGGCACGACGACGAGGTATCCTGCGACCGCGACAGCAAATGCCACGCCACCGAAGCACCACAGTGCTGCGCGCCAGCTGGCGCTCGTGTACGCCGTCAAGAGACCTCCGACAATAAGGCCCAGGCCGCCGCCGATAGGCCCGCCCGCCGAGAAGGCCGCAAAGGCGCTACTCCGCGTGCGGCCGCTGAATGTCGCTGCGATAATTCCTATGCCTGCGGGGATACAGGCGGCGCTCCCGACGCCCGCGAGCGCGCGGGTCACGACAAGCCCCGCCGTGTTATTCATCCATCCGCCGACGAGGTTCCAAAGTGCGTTCCACGAGATGCCCACCACGAACACCATTTTGCGGCCGTACACGTCGGCCAACCGGCCCGCGAGGAGGAGGAAGCAGCCGTTCGTGAGTGCGAATGCCGAGGATATCCACTGCAACTGTGCCTCGGGCACGTTGAGATCGGCCATAATGGCGGGTAGCGCAATGGAAAGGCTCATTGTTCCTGCGCCGGAGAGGGACATGGCGGCCGTCGCAACAGTCACGATGCCAATGGTGCGGGCGAGCGAGAGCGGAGGGTGCTCTGGCGGCGGGGGGAGCGAGGACTTGCCCGAGACGCGCGAGGCAATGCGCTCCGCTGCGGCTGTGGCGTACTCGGGGGTCACGCCAGCGCCGCCGGCGCCATCTGCGGAAGTCGCTGCGACGCCGATATTAGGCGAGGTCGTCCGGTGCAGCGCACCTCCGCCGCTGGGAGCTGCAAGCTCGGCGTTCCCTTCGTGTCTATGCTGTCCATCTGGCCGTCCACCGTCGCCTGTCATGTTGAATTGCTTGAGAAATAGTGAGTAGAAGAACTTGCTCCATCCCACTTCACTTTGTGTCGCTTTCTCGGGCGAGTTGGGCTCGGTTGTGGAGATGAACGCCGCACTGTTTGCGGGGTGGGCGATATGGCGTGCCAAGGCAGATTGCGGCCAAATCCGGACAAGTAGGCGTCGGATATACGGAACGGCATGTCGGCCGCACGCCGCATCGGCACTCCCGATGCTGAGTCACACAATCCAACTTGACTACTTTAATAAATGCATGAATGTTCGTTTGGCCCAACTGAGACGGGGATGGTCGTCGTATCTTATCAGATTGGAGGGCAAAGCCAGAGCCGATCTGTTGACGTGTGCTGGTGCTGCCCTTACCTCGCCGCTCGCTCCCTCGCTCCTGCAGGGCACAGCACAACATCCATCCCATTATACACACAAATAGTCTATCTACTCGAGCTTGAAGCCAAGCTTAGCCTCAAGGGCCTCGAGGCTGCGCTTCTGGATGCCCTCGTGGAGCTCGAACGAGTCACGCATGTCCACGGGGAGGAGGGCGGCGAATTTTTCCCTCGTCCACCCCTGCGCAGAGGGCGAGCCACCGCGCGAGCGGTTGTGCTCGTCAAGGTTGGATTGGAAGATACCCGCCGCCGAGGCGGGGAGGAAGTCCTCGTACGTGACGGGGGAGAGCTTGACGGTGCCGGAGGCGACGAGCTGCTCGAGAGTCTGGGGGGAGGTGGGAGCGGAGCCGGCGAGCGAGAACTCAAAGTATCCGAGGCCCTGCGCGAACATCTCCTCGTACGAGTCGGGGAACGACTTGAACGCCGCGGCAAGGTTGGCCTGGTGCTCCTCATTGTTAATCGATGGGGGCACAGTGGCAAGGAGCTGGAGGTAGAGGTTGTGGCCCTTCTTGGTGAGGGCACAGCCGCGCTGCTCGATCTCGCCGAAGCGAGCGCGGTGGGAGCCGGCGCTTGCTTCCCCGGCAAACTTGATACGCTCGGTGAGAGCCTGGAAAGACGTCTGGCGGAGAAGAATCTCGCATGCCCGCTTAGGGGGGCCCTCGATGATCTGCTTAGGAGTGATGCCACGAGCGCTCATGCCCGCCTGCGCGGCGTCGATGTCGAGAACGCGCGGCGTGAGGTGGTTGATGTGAGGGCCCTTGAAGGCCGCGATGTCTGCCACGAGGGGGTGGGCAGCGTGCATGCGTGCGTAAACGTCGCGGGGAACAGCCGCCGTGTCGTGCCACTTGAAGGTCTCGAGGGCGCGCTCGACGAGCTCGTCCGCATCCTCCAGCCGCACACCGCCTTCGACCTCAGCCTGAGCGACGATCTCGCGCACGCGGATGTGGAAGATGTCGCGCTTGGCGAGCGTAGCCTCAACCTCGGCGCGGAGGGCAGGCGGCAGCAGCTCGGGGAGGAGGAGCGAGGTGAAGACACGGAAAGGGTTGTAGGCCAGTGCCTCCTCGGTTGTTGGGCGGAAGGCGGTGGAGTGAACGGGAACGCCCGAAGGGGCAAGGACATAGTAGCCGACGGGCTCCATCCCCATCTGCGCAAAAAGGCGGGCAATCATCTGCAGCTCGTCCGGCTTGCCGAGACGGATCGCTCCGTGGCGCTCGACCTTGAGGCGGTCTATTGTCAGTCCGAATCGATAACAGGACCTGGGAGGGCCCAGAAACGACAGACGACGTACCTTCGGGAGTGCCGGGGAACGTGGCGTTGACATCGTCGACCAGCTCAATCAGGTCGCCGTACAGCGGCACCTCGGTGCGGTACATGACGCTCAGCGCGGTGCAGAAGCGCGCGCGGAGCTCGTCTTTGGAAATAAAGGTCATCGTGAGTGTGAGGGGGCGGAGTAGGGGGACGAGGGGGTGGAATCAGTAAGAAGCGGGGACCGCATGTCAGCACAAGTAGTTATAGCAGTTATCGCGCGCGGATGTGGTGGCAAGAGATATGATCCGCGGCGAGCCGGCATGGTCTTATCGCCACGAATCCCCCGGGTTTACTCCCCGCGGGGTGCTTGTCACGATTCCGCACCACGCTGACGGAGCCTGCAGGCCCACACGCAGCTTGTGCCCCGGACAAGCGCGCGTGCCGTCCATTGTTCTCCGCATGGGCGTGTCGGGATATGCGGTAATGTTGACGTAGAATACGCGGCAATGTCGAAGAAGAGTTCTAGAGTGGAAAGGGCAGCATGAAGTCGGATGTAGAATCCCGGACTCTCCCACGATTGCAATAGCCCGGAGATCGCTTATCTCCGTTTGTATCACGTGACGACGTCGCACCCTCACGAGCTCGCCATCACCGTCAATGCCATTCAGCAATTCTCGCATCACCACCGCCCCCAGATCGACATGCTGAAGCGCAAATCTCCTTATGGATCCGCATCACCGGCGCCAGGCAGCCGTGGCGCCAGCGTCGGTGTGAAGGCTGAAGGGCCTGACTTCAAGCGCGTCAAGGGTGGGTTGCGCGCTGGATGGAGTGTCATGGTGACCAAGATGTGGTCGTGGGACTATGATTCATAAGGGTTGGAGGCACTGGTTTGGAGGTTTTCCAGGTGACAACTATTGTGTATCACCATTAGGAGGAATGCGCTCCTCTAAAGCGCATGGGGAGTCAGTCCATGAGGGCGCTCGACGGCGTGGTGGAAGCGGATGGGGTAGACGGCGAGGACGATGAGCACTAACGCAAGGCACGTCCTCATTCGTGTCAACGCCGTCATACATCGACCCGCGCGTGGTCGTCCTCGATCTACGTGACTATCTTAAGGTAGTCATAAGCGCGAGCGAGCTGACAGTCAGAACAGAGTGTCGATGCCGTACCAGGACGCCTTCTTCCACGTCCAAGAGCACCACCCAGGTGTCGATGTTGGTCATGTGCTTGATCTGCTCAAGAAACAGGAGCGCGTCAAGTTTAATGACACCAACCAGGTGTTCATGTATGAGGTGAGTCCTCCGCAGCGTCGGGGCTACGGATCGAGTTGGAGACTGGGAGGAAGGTTGAAGGCTGCCGTCGAGCACCGTTCTGGTGTATAACTTGGAGTCACTGTCGGGGG